AATTTACTAAGGAGATGATCAAAAAGGGAAAAATCAAATCTGCATTTCCTCACCAGCTTTATTTTGGTGGTCAAAAGATTGCAAGCTCTTTAGCTCTGCTGATGAAAGAGAGGATCTGCATAACAGTGTTTGATCTACAGAGCATTTAGTAACTATTCACTTATTTCTGAATATTGTGTTTCTTTGTTTAAAACATTGGCATCCCTTTGGGAATGGTATCCTTACACTATGATTATTGCATAAATGTTCATATAGACATTTACATTATATAAATGTAATTGTTTATATGAATTCAGATTTTCCCTGAAAACAATAAGGACATTATTGTATGAAGCTGCTATCTTGCAGTGTTTATGCAACTAGTGATCCGGTGTTGTGTACTCCTCTTCTGAGGAGGAGGAGGTAGAGCAGGAGGCTGAAAACATAGGAGTTGGAGATGTAGGGCCAAGTGTTGAGGAGGAAGAAGAGGGCAAGGAAAACATGGCTGGTTCCTACATTTCAGGAATGCCAAAGGGAGAAAGAAGAAAGGAGAAAGTCAGCTAGAATTGCTGCAAGGATGCTGAGCAATCAGACCTCGCCCTATGTACACCTGTACTGGAAGCTAAGGGCTATAAATCAGCAGTAATGCACATGGTAAATGCTGGCAGCAACTATTCTACTTAGTGCTTCTGTGCTCCGGTTTCCATGCTTGCAGTTCCATTGTCTGAAAAGTGCCTTACAAAAACATTTTGCCAAAGACTCTTGTTTCATGCCTGATGTAAGACTTTTGCTTTGCTTTTGGGATTTTCCATCTGTTCCTTTGCTGCTGTTTGTTAGAGTATTATCATTTTGGTGAAATAAAGCTTTTTTAGTTGCTTTAACTCTTGTTGTAACACTGGATAATTAAGCAGCATGGCCACCTGTCATTTCTGTCTTTGATGCAATGGCTACACCAATGGCATTCTAGAAATAATTATTTGATTTAAGACAAGTCCACATTTCCTTCAATCAAAATCCACAAATACCTGAGGAAATTAATACAGTCCTCCTCATCCTCTCACCATAGAATTGGTGCACATTGTTTACTATATTACAATTGCTTACAACTATGTACAGTTTATATCGGACTTCTAGCCAAAGTGAGGGACAATTATGTCATCATCCCACCTTATGATGGTATTAATAATAATGTTACCATGGATACTATGACAATGGCTGTCACAATTGTTATAATGATCCATGTGCAGAATAAGTAGCCCTTAATTAAACAACTGGGAATTTTGAAGTTTAGTCACTTTTGTTTAGTATCTTTTGGGATTCACAAGAAAATTTTCAAGTAATATGTATAAAGGTTATGTAAATATTTCTGGTTAGAGTCATTGGAGGATTGTTGGCAGAAATAATTGTAACAAAATTTTCAACCACATGTTTGTTTTTAATTGCTGTCAAATTAGTTTTGACTTAATGTGATTATATGATTTAGAAAGCTCTACTTCACTTTAAATTTTATCCTTCATTGGGATACATATGTGTCTACCTATTTACCTTTCTGAAGTTTAGGGCTTGTTAAAACCAACCAATTATTTTGGGGCCAGACAAGAGCAGAAATTCCCAGACTAGCCCTGAAGATCTCTGTACCTAACCAGTGGCGGAGTGGAGACTACATAGTCCATCTGAGTCCAAACCGAATCAACCTGGCTGGACCCTCAGCTTACCTTACCTCCTCTATCATTGTCAACACTACTGGACAGCTGCAGAACTCCAGGATTGCTGACCATGACCATTATAGACATCTTTTGCTGACATTTGCAAAGATGACCTTGCTACCAGGGAAAAAGTGCTCATGCAGGTCTCTTTGCGGGGGGGGGGGGGCAAAGTCATGATATATCACCAGCCTGTGAGGAGCGATTCCATCTCCTTTCCTATCTCCTTTCCCCAGGTAGTGCAGTTGCCTTTGTTATTAGCAAAGGTGCCCATCAATAGCCAGGAACTCTTTGGAGCTCCATGTTTACTTCTAATGAGACAAATGACAACAACAAAAAAGCAGTGCCATCTCTTTCTCTGACACTGTAGAGCACAGGGAAATGGAACGACAGCACTAACTTGTATGAACAATTGGACTTGTTCGATTTTGAACCAGCTCAGCTGTTCAAACCAAACTTGAAGTGTGGGGCTGTTCTAGAGCATTCTCTGACTTCTACTAAAATGTTTTACCCCACGTTAAGTGCATTCCCTGAATGTTATTTAGGGCCATTTGACACAGCCATATAACCCAGAATTTCAAGGCATATAATCCACAATTTCTGATTTGAACTAGGGGCAGTTCCACACAGGGAACAATCAGATTTCTTAAACTCGATTGGGCCCGAGTTGAAGTCCACACACCTCCACACAGCATCCGTGTTTTCCTGTAGAGGAATGTGTGTGTCCAGACGCACTGCTGGGCCTTCCGGCAGGATACTAAACACAAAACAACCCCTCCCCCCAGAAAAGTCTTAAAAAAGAAAATAACTTACCCAGCCACAATTCCCCCTTCTCCAGAGCTCTCCTGGCACATAGAAATGACACACCAGGAAAAGGGGGGAGGGCAGGAGCGATTTTCCTCCACTCCTCCTTTTCCTGTTACATCATTCCTACACACCAGGAAAGCTCCAGAGAAGGTGGAATGGTGGCTGGGTAAGTTATTTTCTTTCTACAGGCTTTTTAAAGGGGTTTTGGGCGGAGGTGGGGGCTGTCTTGGGTTTGTTGGGCTCCGGGAGTAAGAAACCCAAGACAGTTCTGTGGATGGGCACTGGAAGTCACAGAATGCCTGAGCTGGAAAAACCCTGGTCTTCTGAAAGACCTGGGTCTTTCCAGCTGTCAAATTCCTTTGGGACAAAGCAGAATTTCCACATTGCATATAATCCAGTTCAATGTGTATTTTATACAGGTGTGCAGAAGAGGACTTTAGTGAAGCCGACATTTAAAATGCCAGTTTCACTCAAGTTTTAGGTCTGTGTGGAAGTGGCCTTAGTATATAACTATATGATAGTTAGATACTAAGACTTAGAAAATTTAATACATTTTGATGCTTAGAAATGTACTAGAAGTCATAGTTTGTAACTCGCTCTCTTTAGTATTTTATGTGACATTAGCCATTAAGACAAACAATCTGAATTTAAATCAATTGAAATCCTTGAAGACTCTTAAGATAAAATATTGTTGAATCAGAAAGCTGTGTGGTATCTGTGATAATAGCATCTAATTGAATGGTAATGAATGCAAAATTATTTTCATTATTGCAGCATTATGTTTCTGTCCCTCTATTTTTGATTCTAGCATTGACTGAGAAAGAGGAGAACATCTAGTTTGTCAGTTACAGGACAGATAATTATAGTTTATTTACTTCAGTTTGGTGTTCTGATTTTGATTTTTTTTCCTCACTGAATGTCATAGCTCTAAGATTTGGCTCATACAGATCTCAGCCCACATGGCTAGGTAGATTTGTTTTCCAAGGTGAGGGAGGGAGACAACAACTACACAAGACAATTGTAGATCAATGTAGGATTTGCATAAAATATTTTGGATTCACATTCCATTAAATTACTAAAAGAAGCAAATAGTGTCCTTCCATTTTGTAAAAATAAATGAATATACAGGTTTTTTGCTTATATCTTGGTTATCTGGTTTCCTTGTATCAACATGACAGAAGGAGCCATGACTGATGAAAAATCTGTAACTTGTTGCATCCAAAGAACTGAAGTAACTCACATTTTCTGCACTGAGAATGCTCTCACTCTTTTTAATAGTCTTCATTGCTGTCTACAATTTCCTTAAAACCTTGAATTTTATAGTGCTAATCCAGCACTAGAGTGTGAGTTCCTTTGTAAACAATATTCTGTTTACCATATATACTCATAATTTGAAGGGAGATTTTGGGGCCAAATTTATGGATTTTGATATGATCTGTGGATAAGTTGAGGGTTGTTTGACAGAGAGAGAGAACATTAATGCTAACTCAGGACCCTTGTCCACCATGGCCATTACTCCATCCAGACTTTCAAAAAGGCCAGAAGCACTGCCATGGTTGGGAGAGAAGAAGGGGCCGATAATTCTTTTAGGTTCTCCCAAAATAAATAAACCTTTTGCTACTCTACTCTGGGAAGGCAATGATGTCTTTATGTGTGTGTATAGTTCTCACACTGATACATGGATCCATCAACCCAGGCTTTTGGGGTTAATTTTTTCGTTTAAGAGATCTAGATGTGTACATGAGTAAATAGGGTAAACTTACCAGGTTTATGCAGAATCTTCTTAACCCAACTTTTGAATCTGGCATTTGCCTTTGGAATTCTATTCACATATATATGTGCTGAATAACACAAAATCTGCTAACTTAACAATATTTTCAGAAATCTTAACTTTCATATTAACAAAAATGTATAAGCGGATTAAGCTAGACTTTACATTTTTACATTATTTGAAAAATACAAACACAGCTATCCCGCTACTTTTGTGGGCATGTGTGTTTCTGTTTTCTCTGGCACATTCCTACCTTTGCCTGAGTAACAAAGGAAGTGGAAAAGGAGGCGAGATAAACAAAGTGGCACATGGGGCTGGCTCCACCTCTTGTCTCCCTCACGACTACAGCTGGTATCCCCTCAATGGACCACATTAGTGGCATGCCATTCCTGCTCAGAGATATTCCTCTGCCTAGCAAACCCAACTTTGGGAGGCCAGGCAGTTCAAGCTCATGAATAATCTAAACTGCACGAGTGAAACCCCTGAAAGTGGAGGTATTATTGTATTTTCTCTTAGCAGATATGGGACTGGCTGGGAGGGGGGGGCTTTACCACATCCAGACTTGATCAGAGTGGGGAGGGAATTGTTATCCTTTATCCATACAATGTCCTAGCTGGAATCCATATCCCAGCATCTGTTCTTTGCAGTGGGACCTAAAGTTTTTTTTTTCCTTAGGGAAATCATGTAGATATCAAAATTTACTTTTTCACTGTTCCTTTCATTGTCTCCTTCTCAGATATTTTATTCAGAGCAAGATGGGCTGGTACAATATTTTGACTGGATTTCTACAATTGCGTAAGTTGCTTGTAAATCTTTTTAGCTGTCTGGATAAAAGTGCTGAAGACCCCTGTTTGGTACATTCATCTGAGACAATTCTGCCATTAGATGAGGCAACTGCTTCAGAAACTGACATCCCACAGCTATTCCCTAGAGCCCCAGAGTTTTCCTGTTTTTTTTTGGGGCCCTTCCAGGCAGGCAAAAAATGCAAGAGGAATCCCATTTCCTCTTGGAATTGAGTCACACAGGTGGCCTAAACCACAGGATTTTGCAGAGGTGTGTGTGTCCAGATACTTGCCCCTGCTGATCTGAGATCAGCAGGGGTGGGCATGGGTAGTGCCAGCTGCCCCCTCACTTCCCCCCATTTCCTATTTCCCCTGAATTTTTTGAGATAAGACTCCACTCTGACAAGGCCTCCCTGCCTCCGCTCCTCTCCCTGGGAAGAGCAGAAAGAGGCCTTTGGGTTGGGAAGGGAGATTTCTGCTCCAAGCTCCCCTGTTGAATCTTCTGTTGGAGGAACAGAGGCAAAGACTGAAGGCCTGCATGGAAGGTTTCTTCTGGTAAGTTGAGAGGGAAATTAGGGGTGGGGGGAGTAGGAGAGAGACCAGACAGGGAGGGAGGAAGGAAGGAAAATACATGTCTTCCATACCTGCAGGTTTGTACAGCCATGGAAAAATGTGTGTTTTTTAGGCAGAACTGGGTTTAAAGGGCAACTTTTAAACATAAGTTTTCCAGCCTTTAACCCGATTCCTCCTACATTTTGACTAAGCATCATTTAGCCACACACCCCTTTTAACCCGCTTTAATCTGGGTTACAATGCATGTGTGGAAGGGCCCTCGGAGACATACAATGTCTTGAAGGGGTAAATGGATTGTATTCATTTAAGTTCCAAATTGTAACAAAAAAAAAAACAACCAAAAACAAAACAAAATGAAGACTAGTCACTGGGGTGGTAAAAACATATGCAAGACAATGAAGCAGTGAAATGACCAGCTATTACAGGATTGCTGTATGATAAACTGCTATGTAAATGCAAATATTTTTCTCTATATTACTGACCATTGCATATAATTTTGCAAAGTTTTTATTTTTCTGAAAATTGCATTGTCCTGGTTTCAGTAATTATCTTTTTTTATAGGGAAGCATTACTATAATATTTTAAAGTACAATGGTTCATTATGCAAAGACAGAAATTGCCAACTTTTGTGCATTTCTGTAGTTGAACTGATACCAAAGTTGTTAACACTAATTTCTACTGAAGTTTTGATGGATACATGAGATTATAGGCATTGATATTGACTAAGGATAACACACACACTCACATATATATAATCACAAGTTTTAAAATGATTACAAAAAAACTTCCATTGAGGTTAAAAGAAGCATTTATGTGATTTTACACATATACTTGTAATTTGTTCAATAATCTTGTTGGCTTCTTGTGTAATACAGATTGAGCATCCCGTGTCCAAAATGTTTAGGACTAGAAGTTTTTTGGATTTTAGATTATTTCAGATTTTGAAATACCTTTATTTGCAAACATGTATGTAATGTGATATCCTGGAAATGGGACCCAAGTCTAAACACCCAATTTATTTATGTTTCACGTAAACCTCATAAACATAGCCAGAATAAGAATTTAATACACAATACAGTAGAGTCTCGCTTATCCAACCTTTCCTCATCCAACATTCTGTATTATTCAATGCCCGGATCCACAGCTGTTTCAATACATTGCATTGTTTTGGTGCTAAATTCGTAAATACAGTAATTGCTACATAATGTTACCATGTATTGAACTGCTAATTCTGTTGATTTGTTGTAAAACATTATTTTTGGTGCTTAATTTGTTAAATCATAACATAATTTGACATTTAATAGGTGTTTCCTTAATCCCACCTTATTTTGAACATTTTCGCTTATCCAATGTTCTGCTGGCCCATTTATGTTGGATAAGCAAGACTCTACAGTATTTGTTATAATGTTGAGCATGAAACACAGTTTGTATATTTTGAATCATCACAAAGAAAGCAGAAGTGCTACTATCAGCCACTCGTGAAAACAATTTTGAATTTCAAAGTATTTCAGATTTCTGTATTCCAGATAAGGCATGCTTAATCTGTAGTAAAAGTTTTGTGGTTGACCTGTGTAAAGTTTGAATCCTGTTTCTGTTTGTATTTTCAGATTTCTTTCAAATGGCTGTTTCCCACTGCATGGTGTATCAGATTCCCCCACAGAGCTTTCAGTTACCTTGCGTGCAACCACAGAAGATTTCTAACTTTTCTTTGCTTTCTGAGATTGTGGAAAATAGTCCTATTTCAAACAAAGAGCATGCTACAAGTAAAACCAATGCAACGGCTCTGGCAGCTGAAGATAAATTCCTTTGTTGCCACTGGAGTGAAATATCTATTAATTGTATTATATATACAGCAGAGATGGAAGCCAGAGCATTTACTTTCTCAGAACCTGGTGCTTTATCATCTCATCAAATAGGTGTGCTTGTGGAATTTTTTTTTTTAAAAAAATGTTGTTACGATTTACAATGATTATCTGAGGTCTACAATTGTTGCTTTCAAGAATGAGAAATGTGCATATAAATTAGATCAATAATGCATATAAAAATTATGACAGATCACATTATTTAAACTAAAAAGCCTGGAAGAATAATGACATTTTCTTCTTGATGTTGAAATTATACCAAATTAGAGACTCTTCCACACAGCCCTATATCTCAGAATATCAAGGCAGAAAATCCCACAATATCTGGTTTGAATTGGGTTATCAGATAATGTGGGATTTTCTGTCTTGATATTCTGGGATATAGGTCTGTGTGGAAGGGCCCTGAGTCTCATATGACCTTCTCCATTACTGAAAAGTTTGTTTTTTTTGCTAGCAACCATCTGGTGGGAGAACCCAGGGCATTAGAGTGGTGAAGGAATATGAAGACTAGTTACTGCATTTTAAATTGGCTGGGAATCAGGGAAACTAAGCAAGGATGGATATGATATAATCATACTATTCACACCCCATATTTTGGAGTATTTTCAAAATAGCATGTCCAATAGCCACTCAATTATAGAGATGATGAAATAATTTGAGTATTTCCCTTCCCCCAGTTAAGTTGATCTTTTTAATTATCAACATAGTAAAAGTAAGGGTAAAGGTTTCCCCTAACATTAAGTCTAGTCATGTCTGACTCTGGGGGTGGTGCTCATCTCCATTTCTAAGCAGAAGAGCCAGCGTTGTCCGTAAACACTTCCTAGATCATGTGGTCTGCATGGAGTGCCATTACCTTCCCGCAGAAGTGTACCTATTGATCTCCTCACATTTGCATGTTTTCGAACTGCTAGGTTGGCAGAATTTGAACCTAACAGTGGGAGCTCACCCTGTTCCCTGGATTCGAACCACCAACCTTTCGGTCAGCAAGTTCAGCAGCTCAACAGTTTAACTTGCTACGCCACCAGGGGGGGCCTATTGTAAACATACACAGGTAGAATTGTAAGCTGGGTTTTATATGGCAGCAAAGGATAGAGCTAGAAAAAAATGTGAAAAGCAAACTAGAGTTGGACTAAAGTCTGACTCGTTAAGTCATAGGAAAGAGTAGCATTGTAGGAACATGGCAGTGAAAGCAAGGAAATACGCAACTTATTAATATGGACAATTTACTGAAATGGTAGCATTGAGACAAATGAACTTGTTGATTAACCAGGGAAAGATCTAACTAAAGATGAAATAACATACTAAGTAGGCTTCTTTTATGAAGTAGGTTCACATAATCATAATCCTAGTGTGTAAAGAAGTATGGGATGACAGAGAAATGTTACTTCCGTCTTTGGGAGGTCATTACTAAATATTAGAAGCTGGTTAGAATTAATTGTGAAGCTAAATATACATGACTTATTTTCCATGGAATTGTTGTGGGTTGAAGTTCTATAGTCACTGTTAAGAGGAAATGTTTGTGTTTGTAAACGTTTTTCAAACTGTATTTTGACACAAGAGAACATTTTAGAAAATATTTTTCAATTTAGATTCATTGTGGAATCTACAGCTTTGGACTCAAGAAAGCACACAGGAATTATTGTGTATTGTGGAATTGTCTACCAAGTCACCGTACTGGAATGAAGACCTTACAGTTAGTCTGCATTATGCATTGTAAGTATATGATATATATGTCCAATTGCTGTGCTTAATGATTACAGAAAGTGTTTTTTATAGATAATAATAATAATCTTTATTTATACTCTGTCCTATCTCCTGAAACCGAGATTGCTGTATGTGTAAAAACTCAATTTAGCAAATAATCCGGATTAAACCGGCATATAATCTGGGATAAACAAAAGTTTGAGCAAAACGCCTCAAAATCACAGAGTTCAAAGAATGCAAACAAACAAGGTGTAGAAAAGCAAAGCCGTCATCCAAATGCAGTCCAAAGTCGAAATAAGTCCAGTAGACGATGTTAAAGTCCAAAAAGCAGCGTCGTCATCCAAGCAATCCAAAGTCAAGAAGAAGGGAAGTCAGCACTCACAATATTCCAAGCCAGTCGATACACGGAGAATACAACAACCTGTAGTTCCAGGACCCAACAAGAGAAACGGCAGCAACAAAGACCCAGGCATGAATCCAACATTTGCCTTCTGCAAAGTTTCATTGCTCCAGTTCCTACATTTATCTTACAACTCATTATCAGTTGATGAACTGTCCTCCACCCTCTCCTCATCACAGCTGCTTTAGCCTCTACAGCTGAGCGCCAACACCCATCCCGCCAACTTTTCCATCTCTTATCAAGACTTAGGTCTCCCCATGTATTACCAGATTGCCAATCCCCATAAAAGCCCTCAAAGGTATCACTGGACATAGGTTGTGTACATACATCTCTGACTTCTTACACATGAGTCCAATCCAACCCATCTTCCTCCTCATCACAACTCCCAGACCCATTACTTCCTGTAAAACCCATAAAATCCTCCTCTTCAGTAGGAGCAGTAAGTATGTCACGGATCCGTTTCCTCTGATACTCCTCGTCTGACTCTTGTTCACGAGTAGTCCTTTTTACATCTCTACTCTCATCTCCCCCCTCCTCCATTTCACTTTTTGAAAAGCCCTCAAAAGAGTCTTCGTCTGTAGTTGACATGAATATTTCCCTAATTCTCTTTCTTTGTTGCTCCTCATCCAAATTCTGGGCACCTCTCTTCCCTCCTCTGCTACTCCTATTATCAGTTATAGCATTACCAGGAGACTCTACTACAACAGAAGGACAGTTAGGAGGGACATAAAGTCTGTCCTTAGATTTGTTTTGGAGCACACACACACACAAATATATACACATACATAGTACACTAGGTTTCCAAAAGTTTTACTTCCATTTCTCACCTTTATTCATTTAGTATAGTAAAATATTGCTATTTTAAATGTAAGAAACAGTTTGTAATTTTCTTAGTTGTTAGAAATATCTCCTTTCAAGTTACACATGCTTGAATTATACGTGATTTTAGCCAAAAGGCTGAGAAGTTTTATCATATTTATTTACTGCATTGTTATAAGTGTTTTACTTAACTTACTATATAGAGTATAATACAGTTTTATCAAGCCTTTTTGTTTGGTTTGGTATTGTGATATGGCCTAAGCGCTAATCAATAAAATTTACTACTACATACTTGATTTTTTTTAGAATATTAATAATATATATTAACATTTCCCTCTAATTTTCCTATCTCTTCATGGCCTAGCCATAAATTGGCAGTACTTCTGATACTGTGCTATTGACTGAGATTTATGCAAGATATATTTAAAAATTGTGTATGTAGCCAACACATGACCAACTTATAGCAGAATTATTGACAAACCTCTAGTATCCAGATAATAGCAAAGAGTAGGATGCAGGTAGTTTCATAATAATGTTATCATTTTCATCCTTAGAGAATGACCTAATGCAGCTGTTCCAGACAATAAAGCAACTTGCTAGATTTGCTGATTAGTTTTGCCTCTACAGAATTTCTTTAAGTTGGGGAAAAATCCACACAAGAGTATCTTTTAGGATTTTTAAATTGAGGTCATACTGCCTAATTGGGTTTTAAAAAAAAGATTATGTGAAATATGTTGAACAAAATAGCTTATACCTTATCTTCATAGCAGAAATTCTCTAGCAGTAATAAAGACATTGGATTCATTCCTTCACACATCAATAGGCACTTTTGTTCAAAGGGGATGCAATATCATAGCACCGCATACTTGAAAATGCTACATGCTGTTTCTTATGGAGCACAAAAAGGAAGTCTTAAATATGAAAAGACGGCAGATGTACGTAGGGTATGAATCTTTCACTAATAACAAGGGAAGTCTTCCAGTAAATTATTCAAAGGGTTTTTCTTTCCATGCAATACAGATTGCTTTCAAAGAGGAAATTATTTTTTCTTCAAAAATCATTCTAGAGTCTGAATAGAAATAGAAATATAAGGGTAAGAGTGTGGCTTGCCCATGAGAATTTGACAAAAAGTGTAAATGGTAAAGAGTAAAGACAAAGATCCACCCAGAAGAAAGGTGTTCTTACCATTGGATGCTGTTACTGATACAGTGAACCACTCACCGCAGAGGGAAGCTGATGAAGAAACACAACCTTCAATCTATCTACTGACCCACTAAGAAAATCTAACAAATGTTATGTTCAGCAAAGGACAAGAGGGATCCTTTCATCTCTGTAGGCGTCTACTGGATACCATGCAGCTGTGGACAAGTCTATATAGGGACCACCAAATGCAGCATTGCCCAAACATGAATCAAGGAACATGAACGGCACTGCCGACTAATTCAACCAGAGAGTTCAGGTATAACAGAACACCTGATGAACCAACCTGGTTGAGAACATAAGAATGCTGGACCACTCTAACAACTACCATGTTAGACTACACAGCGAAGCCATTGAAATCCACAGGCATGTGAACCATTTCAAAAGAAAGGAGGAAACCATGACAATAAACAAAATCTGGCTACCAATATTTAAAAAACCTCTAAAATCAGGACAGTAAACAAAGACTAACATTCAAAAAGCAGGGAAATTCCAGACAAGAATAAATCAGAGCCAGCTAACACCTCCCAACAAAGGATTCCCCAGGCAGGAAGCAGCCAAGCTTTGAAGCTGCAAGGCCATTAAATGGTAATCAAGCAGACAAGAGTTCTCTCTCCCACCCTGGATCTTCCACACATATATAAAACCTCACTTGCCTAGTTTTTCAATAGACCCCTCAACCTCTGAGGATGCCTGCCATAGATTTGGGTGAAACATCAGGAGAGAATGCTTCTGGAACATGGCCATACAGCACAGAAAACTCACAGCAACCCATATAAAAATGGTACTATTAGAACTTTTTAGATATTTGATGATAATGTGTTAAGTTACATATTTAAGGCAACTTGCACTTTAGTTGTTACCTCTATGGCTTTATAGTTGCAATACTTTACCATCTGAATATTTTAACCCACTTAAAAATATTGAAGGAGCATTGGAGAGGAGCCACTTTTTCCAGGTTCTTCTCCAGTTCAAGTTCTGCAACTCAGCGTGCATTTACATTTCTGTCAGATAGCAACCCATATTCTGCTTGAAATCTCTGATGTAGGAATACTCAATGCCCCTGATGTCAGGCCCGTAGGCAGGATTTCGTTTCGGGGGGGGGGGGGGTTTTCAGGGGGGGGTTCGGGGGGGGTGAGTTTCGGGGGGGGGCTGAGTCTGAGTGAAAGAGGGTCTAGCCTAGCAAACCTTTTGTATTATTACCCCAATACCCCCATGCATATGGGATATATTGAGTATGGTGATCAGATCATGATATGAATAAACATAACAGTTTAAATAATGCACCAGTAAGGCCTTTTCGCGAACCACCATGAGAATTTCGGGGGGGGGGGGGGCTGAAGCCCCTCAAGCCCCCCCCCCCCCGGCTACATGCCTGCCTGATGTGATCTGCTATGCTGCTTAAACAACTGCTGCTATGTTTCTTCAGGTTTTACATATATTTTTTCCTATTAGTTTTAGAGCTGCTCCCTGGAGCAAAAGAGAACAAGTCTGCCCCATCCTTTGCCTTCAGATATTTTGTTTATCCTCATTGTTTTCTTGTCTGAGGCAAGCATATTCATTCTTTCTACTGTTCATCACATATCTTGGACTTGAATTCAAGCAGAATAGATCCATTGAGGCAATTGTTGAATGTTAAGTCACCAATTCTTAATGATTCAATTGGTCCTTTTTAGAAATTCAGCTTTGATTTCCAGATTTGTCACCATCCTACTCACCTTCCTAGCTTATCCCTATTGATCAATGCACTTCTAAAAATACAAAATTGTATTCTTCACGAGTAACTTGAATAATACATAGTTGGTGTTATTGTTAACCTGGATAGATTTTTTAGATTGCATTGCACTGTTGGCTCATTTTCATTTGGCTCCTTGTGGACTGTTCTTATATCTAGGCCAAGGAGCCTCCGGTGGTGCAATGGGTTAAACCCTTGTGCTGGCAGGACTAAAGACCGACAGGTTGGAGGTTCGAATCCAGGGAGAGCACGGATGAGCTCCCTCTGTCAGCGGGGACATGAGAGAAGCCTCCCACAAGGATGGTGAAACATCAAACATCTGGGCGTCCCCTGGGCAATGTCCTTGCGGACAGCCAATTCTATCACATCAGAAGTGACTTGCAGTTTCTCAAGTCACTCCTGACATGAAGAAAAACAAATATCTAGGCCATTGTTTTGTGACAGGCGATCTAATATTCTTTTTCTGCTGCTTTATTGAGTACTATATGAGACTTAGAATAGATGATTATTTATAAAATAAGTTATTTACTTTTAGGTTGGGATTTTGTTAATGAATCAGCAGTCTTATGCCATTTGAACTTTCTGATTATTTAAATCTGTGCCATGTGCATCTTAGATTTTATTTTTGAAGTATCTTTGATGTTCCTCAGAAATAACTATTATGGCATAGTAGTTAGAGTGCTGGACATAGAAATGCAAAGACAGATTCAAACATTCTTATGCGACATTATATAACATTACATAACATATATAAGAAACAGGAAATGGACATGTATTCAGTCTTAAGGTAAGGTAGGATATAATTGTAATCAAATATATGAAATTACACACAGGTGAGGTCTGCATTTATGCACT